CCTCACCTTGCACACACAGTATCCCATCTGAGCACCAGTTCATGTCCTGGCTGCTCTATTTCCTATCCAGCTCCCTGCTTGTGCCCTGGGAAAAACAGTCGAAAATGACTCAAGGCCTTGGTACCCTGCACTTGCATGGGAGATCTGGAAGAAGCTCCTGGCTTCTGGCTTCTGGGTTCAGACTGGCTCAGCTCTGGCTATTATAGCCGTTTGGCAAGTAAACAAGCAGATAGGAGATCTTTCTCTGTGTGTCTCTTCTGCTTTCTGTAAATCTGAGCTTCCAATAAATAAATAAATAAATAAAAATATCTAAGTAAGAGTGAGAAATTCACATAAGAGTCAAAGGAAAACCTTGACAACCGAGTAGCATCACAAAAATGTGAATGCTAACACACTTTTTGGGGCAGGAACTATAAATAGAGTTCAAAGAGAAATATAATTTAAAAAATAGGTTAATGTATTTTACTGGAATAAGAAAAATAGAGAACTGAGAAAAATGAATCATAAAAGGAAAATAAAGGTAAAACCAAATATTTTAAACTTTTGTCACACAGCTTCATCTGTACATGACTGGAGGTATAAATGCACTTTAAAACGATCAAAAAAAGCCATTCTTCAGATTAACACAATCAAAGAAGTAACTTGGCAAACTAACTAATTAAAAAGATATTTCAAATTGTACACACTGGAGGGTAATGGAAGGCAAGTAGATCTAAGTGAAAAAAAATACGTAAATATAAAAGGTACAGGTGCAGGCAGAAATAACTGCTATAGGCTTCCTATAATCTCACTTCAACAGAAATTCTGAAAAGCAAACAATTCTAGAAATCTGGAAGGCATTTCAGAATGTTTAAATGATGCACCAAAAATGCCAACTAATAAATTTGAAAATGCAATACTGAATTAAACTACACGGGGTAAAGATGAAAAAAAAGAATTTTATACAGATTCACTCACTTATTGTTCATCCACATGAGACTATTTCCAAATATCTGGAAAACCAATAAAAATGGGACCACCCTTATTCTTCATACTGCAGAAACATGGGTACGGTTTTGTCATACATTGTGAAAATGCTTTATTCCTTCTGTGAAAATCTAGAAAAATAGGCCACATGAAGTTTAATTCATGTAAGAAAGAGGAAAGGAAAACATCGACTGTATGTGATTTACACGATAGAAATCAAATATTAAATGGCAAAATGAAACCCCTGTGGTTGGAAATAACATTTTAGGGGGAACATAATTACAATTCAGGAAAAGCCTGGTAGGGGATAATTTGGTTTTATCTTGCTGATATAGATATATTCTAACATGTAATTAGACTTAAAAACATGTTTTCAAATCGAATCTTAATAGAGCCACATGATATATTGAAAACAAAGAATGAAAGAAATATGAGAGACATTTACCATGTCACATGTATAATGTTAGGGACGTGTAATATTTGCTATAAATATACTATGTTTTTAGTGTTTACTAAAACTGCCAATCAAGAAGCATATCTATTATTATTATTGTTGTTGTTTTAGATAATGTTTACATAACCGATCAGTTTGGGAAGGATCTAGGGATAGGGAGAACTGGATGTGATCATTGTTTCCAAACTTTCTACTTCAAGAATTATATTTCTAAATCAAAATAAATCAAATGCTTGGTTTCAGAATAGTAACTCTGGTCCAGCAAATTATACAGAAGAAACCCTTAAAGCAAATACGTATAACAATTCAGTAGTGGAATTTGCAATGCTGTTTCATGCTCCTGTGATGAAAGGATTTGAAAGAATACACTTCATTCATCCACTGCTCCAACTGCCATGACATTTCTTCTGGTCAGCAACATTACACAGGTTAAATGCATGGCAGTGAATGAGCTACCATTTTCAGGGGCTTTCATCTGTAAACCAGGGACAGCTTAGGCAATTCCCAACTAAGTTCATTAAGAGCAATGACAGCTATTAAAAAAAAACAAAATGCAGTTCTTTGTGGCTAGATGGGCCCAAATGGAAACTATAATGCTAAGGGAAATGAGCGAAACCCAAAATGTTAGAGACCACATATTTGCCTTAATTTAACCTGTATTTTTTTTGATCCTGTCATTGATACTGTCTCAACACATGTGTTTCAAAAAATTGGACTTGCATTATTTTTAACATATTATTTACTTAATACTATGTCAATCAATTCCATAACACTATATATTGTTGCTGATGTTTTGTTGGGGCTTTTAACTGACCGGGATTTTACTCTGTATAGCTTTGCCTTCAGACCAGGGAAGGCCTCCCGAAGAAGCCGTTAAATGTTATCAGGACAATAAGATGCTGAACTCAGTGCTGGGCATGTGCTTGCAATGAAGGAATCTCAACTGAACTTGAACTGTGATTATGCACCATGGGGGGAGGGTTGTGGGAGGAGCGGGGGAAATCCAAGCACCTATAAAACTGTATCACATAATACAATGTTATTAACAATAAAAAAAAAGAGCAATGAAGAAATACTTGTCACTTTGCCATAACATACTTACTATAAATAATCTAAAATGCCTGAGGTTGAAGATCTCAGTTGATCTACTTTTATTAATCCGCTCGGGATTGTCCAATCCCTGACCTGCCTGATATAACCTCCCATGAGGAGGAATTGTCCTCCCCAGAGGAGAGCTTTGAAATGAGTGACCTTGATATAGCCATGCCCCTAGCTGCCAAGTAGGGCCCAGAAATGGTCCTAATGGGGGACAATATGAAGATGGTAGCCCTGGAGCCATAAGGCTGTGAGGAAGATGATCCGTGGACAAACATGTTCCTTGTGGCCACCAATGACTTTATAGGGGCCAGAAGTACACCCTCCCGGCCAGCTCCAGATACTCATGGGTTCCCTGCTTCACCCCCAGAGCCATACCTCTCCATCCCCTCCTCTGTGACAAGTTACTTGTTCTTCCTGATCTCCATCCTGCTATTTTTCAGTTTTATGTTCCCTGTACTTCAATAAAATACAGTTAGTTGTTGCCAAGTGTGGAGAGCCTCATTCAGTACTGTACGAGTTCCCCAGGTCATGCCCATCCTACCCTACTCTCACTGCAAAATGGAGACCGCCACCTGGGCGGGGATCCTCCGGACAAGGACCCCCTCCTCAGCCATAGCCAGAACTGTCCATCCATCTTTGTAAAGGGAGCACTGACTGTTGGTAAAGCCAAGGAATACACGGGTCCAGGAGATGATGTTTTGGGCAGCCTCAGAGCAGCCTCATGCTCAAGAAACAGGAACTGAGGTCAGTCAGAACAATGGACCCAGCACAGGTGCTTCTAGCACAGCCTCAGTGGCCTGATCTGTGTCATGGAATGGCACCACTGCCCTCAGTGGGACAGGGAAAGCATATACAAACCTCCCTGCACACAACAGGACCTCCAGCTCCCTGGATGAGGTGCACACAATGGCATGACAAGGGTGGGAGGGACTTCAGGTGGTATATGGGTCATGGGCACAAGAGCCTTCACAGTCCCTGTCGTTGCGCTCACCGATGGCGCACTAGCAGAAGCAAAGCAAGGTTTCACCCAGTGGCTCAGGCATTTCTGTAAATTATACATTATATCAAGGAGATCTACTTTGACGCTTAGTGTGGCCAATATGGCCTGCTGTGCGTGGCCTGAGATGCAGCGCTTGTGGCTGCAAAGTGTAACACACATGAGGATCCCAACGCAGTGATCCCCAACGCAGTGACACAGAGTTTTGCTGAATTGGTTTGTTTTTTCAAGATGATCAAACTTAGTCCTTCTGGTCAGTGTAAACCTCTACTGAATTTATTGAAAATCCTGGAAGTCAAATGCAAAATTAACAAATGAATTAGCAAAAATTATGAAAAGAAAACCTCATACGAATCTGTATTTACATATTTTGATGTTTGACGACATCCCAAAATATTTTAGGACTAACTTCATGTTTTCTAACAGGAACTAACAGAGTAACTTCATCAAATGTCTTCTGGGGCATGGATACTATAGGGCTGAACGGACAGGGCTAGTCAAAAGCAAAAAAATGTGATTTCTTGCTGTGGGAGATATAAGCTATATCTCAAATATTTAAAAAGGGACTGAAGAGTTATATGCCTCTTGAAACTTTAAACGTAGTACTACAATGGTAACATCCCTTTAAAGACCTTAAACAGTAGTCATTGCCCTATGCTCTTTGTTTAATTTCTCAACATACTAATATAAGAAAGTATTGGTATATTATTATATACAAATCAGTATCTCTTACAGATTTTTTGTGTTTCCATGACAAACGAAATAAAGTACTGCAGCATATTCATTAGTGAGTCTTTGAATATAGAGGTAGAAGGAACAGCCTTTGAGCTATAAAGGCAATTATACCAACTTTAAAGGAAAATAAAGTTCCTCATTCAGGAAACCAAGTATTATACACTGAGTAAATTCCTGTGGGAGGCATAGAGTTTGGAGACAAAGGAATAGTTCTAAGACACAAATGTCAAAGATTCATAGTGCTTTCCTGACATATAACAAAATGGTACAAAATGGCACAGAAATAATTTTTAAGCATTTTCTTCCATATATTTAAATAGTTTTAAGATTTCTTTACTTCCCTTTTATTTCACATAACTTTAGATATTTCTTTGCTCTTTTAAGAAATGAAACCAGAAAGTCCAGACCTTTGCATGTCACTAATTACAAGCTTATGCTTCTAATCAGATGGTTTAATAGCACCTCCTAGGCAATAATTTATTTTGCCAATTTCCCCCTCCCCAAATCTCTGATTACATAGAATTCTAAGGATGTCACACTCAAAAAGCAAAACCAAGTTTTCTGTTGTAAACAGCACCCTGACAGCAGTGATGAACATAAACTCCTAATCACCTCTAGATTATCTTCACATTCCAAATATTTAAGTACCGGCTTCTGAGATAAAGAGATATCCAAGAGGAAAATTCCAAATTATTTATAAAATGTGAGGAGTGAAACGTAAATGCTGAAGCTTATTTAAAATGTACTCACTATATGCAGTTCTAGGTAGTCACCCAGGCCTGAAGAACTGTCCACTCGAACCAATACAGCTTCTTTCTGAACAGTGCTAAAACCAATGGCAAGTCGGTCTGCGCGTGTACTGGGTCTGTCGTTAGGAGGCCACTTATAAGTGATTTGTCCACCACCTTTGCTAAAGATATACGTTGTCCCAGCTAGAAAACAAAAACAAAAAGCTCAGTTAGTGCAACAATATTAAGCTCATGCTTGCCCATGTTTGTCATACTGATATAGTTGTGTGGTTCTAACTTTATGCCTGTAACTAGGGCAAAGAAATAATAGCTTCCAATCAAACATCCCCAAGAGGGAAAACAGTTTTTTTGAAAGAATAGCTTAGTTTTTAATATTCTCATTAAATTTATCAGCAGGTACATCAGGATAAATGGTTGATCTTTGCATCTTTCTAATGAGTTGCACAAGCATGAAAAATAAAGGGACTGTTTCCTCCTGCCAGTTTTGAAGAAACAGCTAAATACTAGAGGCACCCCAAAATCAGCAGAAACATATGCCAACTTGATTTTGAGTCAAGAGCTACATGTAGGTATAACACAGTATTAAAACATGATAAAGAATATTTCAATGAGCATATCAGAAATGAAATTTCTAACAGATAAAAGGTCTATATACGTTTGACAGGTAATAACTAATGAAATCAATGGTCATGTCAAAAAATACAGATAATAGATTTCATTCATAGAAGTCAGATCATATTTGCCAAGCAACATCTAGCAGCTTTCAAGCTACTGACCAATAGAAACAGATCCATTCTCTCCTCCACCCCAAAAGACTGTCTAGTTTTACAACATTGGGAATGATATCTAGGTATCATTCTATATAAATTTTACTTTATGGCAGTGATGTCAATAAATTATCCATCGCTGCTTAGAAAGAATTTTGTTTCAAAGAATGGTATTCAGTGTCTAATGTGCTGAGGGGCCATTTCACTGCACCCTGATCATCTGTGCAACAAAACAGGGGCTGGTGCCATGGCATAGCACCTGAGTTGCTATCATCCCATGTGAGTGCCAGTTCATGTCCCAGCCGCCCCACTTTCAATCCAGCTCCCTGCTTAAGACACAGGAAAGCACCGGAGGACGGCTCAAGTCCTTGGGCCCCTGCACCCATGTGGGAGACCTGCAGGAAGCTCCAGGCTTCATGCTGGCTAAGTTCCGGCCATTTCATAAATTTGTCAAGTAAACCATTAGATGGAAGACCTCTCTCTGTTCCTATATCTCTCTGAAAATCTACCTTTCAAATAAAAAAGAAAGAAATGCAACAAAATGAACTCCTAGAGCCAGAATATTTCTGAGTCAGAAAATTCTTCATGATAAAGGGGACTAAAGATTGGTGACTTTACAGATTACTAAGAGTTACTTGTTTCAGTAAACCCCATGTCAATAAAAATAAGGAAAAAATCATATAAAATGGAGTTTTTTTTTTTGAAGGCAGGATATACTAATTATTTCTGAATGCTTGTTCTTTTGGAATAATTTTATTTTCCTTTTATTAAATCAATTCTCTAATATTTATGTGCTTCATGTAAAGTAAGGAAAGACACTAATACTATTTAACAATAGAAAACCTAGGGGTCAGGTGCGGTAGCCTAGTAGCTAAACTCCTTGCCTTGCAAGCACTGGGATCCCATATGGGCACCAGTTTGTATCTGGGCAGCCTCACTTCCTATCCAGCTCCCTGCTTGTGGCCTGGGAATGTATTAGAGGATGGCCCAAAGCCTTGGGACCCTGCAGCGCAGGAGACCTGAAAGAAGCTCTGGCTCCTGGCTTCAGATTGGCCCAGCTCCAGCTGTTGTGGTCACTTGGGTAGTGAGCCAGCAGATTAGAGATCTTTCTGTCTTTCCTTCTCTTTGTAAATCTGACTTTCCAATTTAAAATAAATCTTAAAACCAAAAAAAAAAAATCAAAAACAATATAAAACCTAAAGCTTACATAAGAATTCAGATATTTCCTTCCCAAGCACCAGTGTGAGCCACATTAGCTCACACTGTATTTTGAATGAGAAAATCATTTTCACAACCATCTTTCCCACTATTTCTCTACTTCTACATAGGCAGTGGTAGGGTAAATATTACTTCCATGCTACAACTGGAGGGATTTCGTTATAAGGATTCACTTTTTCTACAATCTTACAAAGTTGGTTAAGTGGCAAAGCTTGTAAAATCACCTACTATATGAAAGCCATTCCAGCACATACATTCTTGTATTATTAAAATATTTCTATTATCATAGCAAGACAGTAAAAAAAAAAAACTTATTTGGATATGTCAGCCTGAATTTCTCAAGGACAACTGTTATCATATTCTAATGTCTCATAACCATAAGGCGACATTTTGCAACTGAAATCATATATTGTCCCTCTACTTAGAATTTCAAAAACAAAACTAACATAAAGATATAAAATAGCAAAACACCTAATACACGTAGGCTAATGTTTTGTGAGAGTATACTTCCCAAACTTATTGAGCAATACAAGTTTCTAGCTGTTCAGTTATAGAACTTGAGAATAAAAATTTCAGACTTATATTTGGTAGGGTAAGTAACAGCACAAATATCATTGCTTCATATTTGATTTCATATACAATTTCACTCTTCTCTATAAATGTTAGACGGTTGTAACCTTTATGCAATGAACTCATATATCCTCTTACAACGACTTCATGGTTCTTTGTATTTGATGCAAACAAAGCAGAGCAGTTTTACTAGCAGCTATGAAAGATCGCAATTCATTCTGCTTTCTGCTGAATCCCAGGTATTTTGGAGAGATGTTTCCTTTAAATTTGCTTCTCGGTGTGCAGTAGTGAATGGCTGGTGCTTAGCAACATATTTTCATGATGAATAAGAAAATTAGATGTCTAGCTCCCCCATGGTTCTCTTCTATCTACTTCCGTAAGTATCCTGGATTCCATATTTTTTAGATTGCTTTACATAGAATTGGAAAAAACATCCTCTATTCTTAAACCCTTCTTTCCAAGCTAAAAATAAATTACATAAATAATCAAATGTAGGTCAGGGGTCTACTTTATTCAACATGAATTTTTTTTTTCTGGACCAAGATTGTGATGTAATTACTGAGCAGAATAGTTTAGAAATTTAGAGCACAACCTCAGCGATGAGACATACGTAGGTTCAAATTCCAACTATATAACATACTAGCTAAAGATGTTGACCAAGAGGTGTATTCAAAATCTTTGATTTCTTATCCAAAAAATGTGGATGTAGCAATATTCTCTTACAGAGGTTTTATCAGAATTGTCTATTTCTTTGCATTGTAGTAAGTGCCTAAAAAGTTTGAGAGAGCACAGATGTGCATATCCATTATAAAGTAAAAACTAAAATTGCAACATTAAATAATTAATTTAAAAAGCTTTTAGAAAATTTGGATAAATTTCAAAGTTGTTTTCAAAATAAATGACTTAAGAAATGGACATCTTTAGATTATAATTTTTATTATTTTTTCAGTTTTCATTATCTGAATTAATACTTTCTCCATGATAATTCATGATATCAGCTGTATCAGCTGTGTTTACTAATAATTTACCCTTATGACGATACTGAATTCTACCACATAGGAAATTTTACGAGAAAAAGAGCATCTCATCACTATAAGACATCTATCACGGTAGTATTTATAACATGAAGCACAAAAGTTTAGCTTCCCCTTTAAATAAAGGAGAATTTCTACATGAAGTGAATGGCAAACTAGCTTTCTGCTGGAAGCGTGATGGAAGCATGTTTTATCATAAAAGTGAAGTAGTAGTGGCATACAATGCTAACCATTCTACCAACACGCAGGGAGTTGTGAGCAAATGTGTTGTGTTTGTTATTTATGCATGCTTGTACGTGGCAGGCACTCACTCATCAGTGCCGTGACTCCTAATGGACTGACTGCAAATTTTCTTGACATGCATGACATCCTGCATGTATGGATGACTCAGGATTAAAGTGGCGTGTGGCAGTCTCCTCTTTTAAGCATTGGGGTAATATTACCTACTCTAAATTTATTAACAAAGCTGCCTCTATAAAATGCAAATTCAGCAGTGAAAACATACTTCACAATAAACACTAATAAATGTTATATATGTGCTACTATTTTCTTATGTTTGAACTGTGATGTTACAACATAAAGTATTTTTTAGGATTTACTGAATATAGAATTTACAGCTGTACAGCTCTTTCTTGCTAAACTTCACTTTCCTACATGTGGTCACTGTAGCCTCATTTCAGTTCCCCAAAAGCTAACATATTTTCCCAAAAGAACCAAAACTTTCTGAAAAAGAAAACCAACCAGCATGTACAGGCCTGCTCAATCACTGCTTGCTCTGAATCCTTATGAACATTCCTAGTTGAACAATAACATAATTAACTTTTTGAATAGCCTGGCTTCAGACCTGTAACATAAGTGCATGAAATGAGCACAATATTATTTTGAATCCTATAGTCAACATGAAACATTCAGGCCATTATGTTTTTATTACATGTAACAGTCAAAGTTTGCCAAGTAGTCAGGTGGAAACAAAGAAAAACTACTGCAAGTAAGAGGAGCTTTCATTCCTTCCTTTAACCCTGTCGAGATATTGTTACTAGATTTATGTATTCTGAACATTTCTGCCTATGTGAAAGCAATCTTCAAAGTAAAGCAAAAGCAGTAAAAAAAAAAAAAAACTATTTTCTATGCAAAGGTTTTAGATCAGGATAAAATTTCCCTCAAAAAAAAAAAAAAACTTACTATTCACTAAAGAAAAAAAAAATCACAACTTGTTAGAGTCTATTGTCTTTCTTAATCATTGCATGCCAGCTTCTAAATTTCCAATAGGAATATTAATATTCAGAAAAGGTTTATATTCCATTGTAGGAGACTGAAGGAATCAGAATAATAGCAGTTCCTATCTCTATACTACGTAAACAACTCCAAATCTAAAAGTTCATAACACAGTAACAAACATAGCAAAGAGACAGTCCTCAATGCTGCATGCTAGCCACGTGACTGCAGGATCCCAAGGCCTGAGGTCATCCTCTATTACTTTCCCAGGCCCAAAGCAGGGAGCTGGATAGGAAGTGGGACAGTCAGGACACGAACCAGTACCCAAATGGTAACCTGGTGTGTGCTAGGTAAGGTCTTTAGGCACTAGGCTATAACC